TCGCAATCCTTAACACCATAAACATATATGTAAACACAATTTGTTTTAACCAAAATTCAGTCTAGTATACCTTTTATGTACTTGAGTAGTACTTTTAGTTTTGTCCTATGCACTTATTTTTCTATTTGAAAAGTGAAAATGGAGAAAACAGTGTTTTGGTACCTTTAAATATCTTATATTTTCAGCTGAAACTCATTTCCTTTCACGGGTATTATCCTAAATTATCTATAAAATTACAAACATATACATAATGTACTAAAACCAAAGATAACTTTTTGAATTTATAGATACACAATAAACATGTTTATGCCGATGTTTAACGTCTTGGTACGAACACTTTAAATATCACAACCCGCGGTTTAAATGATCATATTTTTGTTTTTCAATTGATTGATTGATTGGCTGATTCATTCATTCATTCATTCATTCATTCATTCATTCTATTTTGCCATTGCTTTGAACTATCATGCCACTAAAATTTTCCTGCAACAAAATACTTTTTGTTTTAAAATGAATAAATTCAAACTACATGAATACATTCTATTCCTCTTGAACTGCATATCAGTTTTAATTGTACGTTACGTAATTACTAAACAATATCATTAAATATTTAAAATGACACCATATTACTTCTTTTTAAAAATCTTATGTTTTTTCTGTTTTTTTTTTCTTCCGACTGCTCCATAGAAAGAGAGCAAAATATTATAAATTAAGGGACAATTCTTCAACCCTCAGGTGGGGCAAAATTTGACAATTTGCAAGATAATAGTGCATCAAGTCAAAATAGTGCAGAAAACAGAAGCACAGCATGTCAAAGTAGTGCAGCAATTTTAAATCTTACAGCAATTTAATCTGTTGCAGCAAGTCCAAGATGTGCAGCAAGTAGATTTACTGCCGCAAATTTGAAAGTTTCAACAAGTCCAACAGTGCTTCAAGTCTAAAAGTGCAACATGTCAAAGTAGTAACAACGACAACAGTCGCATTGAGTCTAAATATAGCAGGAAGTTCCAGAAGCGCAGCAGTACAAGAATTGTATTAGTCCTGTCTTAAAAGCAAGTTTAACTGACAACGTCACCTTAAGTAATAAACCACAGACAGACATGTTTCTGCCACAAGGTATATAAACAATGTATAATCAATTTAAAATGACGCATTGCTTTACTTACAATATTATATTGAAAGAATATGAAAGAATTTAAATGATGTACTTCACATTACCGTTTAAATCACGTTGTATGTTAATAACTTATTAATACCAAGTAGCCTTATTTTAAAGTAGGTCATGGCTATGTACTAGCTGGAAGTTATTACCTAGAAGGTATAGTGAAAAAGGACATTCATTGGAAGATGAGAATAAAATGTCACTCTATCATGACAAATGTACATCTGAATACGTTATTTCTGTCCTCGAGCAGAAATGTCAATTATAAAAGTTGATTTATGGCTAAGCAAGAGTAAACGTCGCTCTTCTTACTTATGAGAAATATTTCAAATGTCCCAATTCCTATAGCATTCTTGTTAGTAAACAAAAAAGTTGTTAAAAAAGTGACGGCAGAAATGTTTTTGTTCATGATGAACTAACAACCGTTTTATTTTTGTGTTGTTGATTTTGTGCGGTTTTTTGTTGTTGTTTTTACTAATACTAAGTACTTTGGTGATTTTTCAACATTGCGAAAATACCCTTTTTTTTATTCACTCAATAATAAGAATAACAATTTCTCTGTAACTAATCAAAGCAAGTAACGTATAAAATAATCAAAAGTTTATTGCACCATTGAAATTCTATTTTGTTTTTAATTCTTGTCATAATTGCCAACACAGTCTGGTCGGATAAGTCACTTTGAAAACCTTCTTTGTTTGTATAACGTAAATAAGGTAAATTAAATTGATTAATATTGTTCACCGGTCTTAATTAGTTTTACGAAAGAATTTCAGCAGATGTTTTTGTCTCCAGAGTATGAAAGTGTGGGGGAAAATCTTTATAAACAAATGAGAAATGATTGAATTACTTAAGATATTCTAGACTTTCGATATAGTAAGATGTCTTTGAACTACTACATCACTATGTACTTTGCAAATCGAGGTCATCATCCATTTATAAAGCTGAATATCTTATTTCTATGCACGACATGTTAGCTTTCAATTTTAGCTTTTTAACCAAATATAGAAGGAAAGATGTTTTCCAATATTTATAGTTTGCATTTTTATCTAATATTATTTAATGTACGGCTATTACATGTCTGAATCTTTTATGACTTTGACATTCTATTTAGATGTTTTATTGAATAATATCACAGACGATTATGTTTGATGTTAAGTTCTGTTGCCAAATTAATTGTTCTCTACCGGACTGCACCATATAAAGGAAATGGTAATGTTTTACTTTATTTGATATAAAGATGAATTGCCAAGATGCTTGAAGATTTTATGTTTTTATGAAAGTCTTGTCTCCCGACATCAATCAAATTTCTTGAAGAAAGAGAGAACATTATCATTCCATGTGGCCCACAGTTTTTAAACTTCATAGGATGATTGTCCATATTGAGTAGAAGACCCCTTTTGATTTTGGGATCACAAGGTCAAAAGTCAAGGTCACTATTAGCTAAATACTGAAAATGGTTTCCGGAGCGTAACTTAAGTTACATTTGGCACACAGTATTCAAACTTCATAGGATGATTGTCCATATTGGGTAGAAGACCCCTATTGATTTTGGGTTACAAGGTCAAAGATCAAGGTTACTATCACCTTTAAACTGGAAACAGTTTTCGCTCAATAACTCAAGTATAAATCAACCTACAGCTGTAAAATTTTATAGGATTAACAGCTTTATACCCCTGACGTCTTTTCGTCCATCCGTTGTAGCACTTTTACTTACAAGTTAACAACTTGATGGAGGTGCTTTGAAAACAGCAACTGTATATACACATGAATGTTCTTCAGCTATAAAGGAGGATTGCTTTTTAAAGAAGGTAATACTATATTTTATTCCCATGTCTTACAAATGCTTCGTCCTTACTAAAAGAAAAAGTACTTCCGGGCATATAATGCTCCTTCTAGCGGTGCTCTTGTTATTTGTTTCATTCGTAAAACCCTTGAACGTTTACTTTATTGTCAGTCTGTGAGATAGGTTTCATTAAATCAAGTCGTTTTATCTACCTTTTGTAGAACAATACAAGTCGTACAATATGAAAATCGTCTTAGAGTAAGTTTGCTTCGTTTTCAAATAGAATTCAAAACCATTTACCTGACTGTCCTTGACATCAAATATTTTTATGCCTCTAGAGTATTGGCTTTGGTGGAAAAATCCCTTTCTTAAAAATGAATGCCATATGATTGCATGTTCTAAGATATTTTAGGTGCTACATAACGTACAATACCTTATTCCACCATACATATGTTATATAAGTAGAGCTTAATATTTAACAAGACGGTAATAGATTTGTTTCCAAACGCAGCATTTTATGTGAAAAAGTTAATTTGTTGAAACACTTTATTTTCGTTTCTGGAACTTATTTAATTTAACTATCTTAGTATTCTTGCGTTTATAGAAATAATACATACTCTGGAAAGGTAATCTACAGACTGTCATTTCTAACTGTGAATGCAATTTGTTTATTAAGTCTGTTTGTAACATTTTCACAAGACACGTATCTAAGAAATAATTTTTAAAAATTGAAACAAATTACTTTTGAAATAGCATATGTGTAATTTATCAACATAATGTTTTTTTTTTTCAATTATAACGAAAATAAATATCTTCAACATATTCATAATGAATTCACGGGAAATAAGTAAGTAAAATAATGTGTACAAACGGAAACGAAGGTACTTTATAAATAACAAAAGTTATTTTTTGCGGAATGTAGAGAATATATTTGAAATAATTTCAAAAGAGAATCAATGAAATTGTTTGAATTTATATAGTGCAGCACTACTATTACAGCCATGTTGCTGTGATGGCAATTACTTCGATTGGGTCTTTCGAATTCCTTGATTAAGCAAATATTGAGAGGGAATATTTAACTATTTAAGTTAATTTATCACAATCAATTAGTTATTATGTGACAATAATAAGATTTGTACACACACTTATGGATAACCCCTAATATGATATGATATGATATGATATGATATGATATGATATGATATGATATGATATGATATGATATGATATGATATGATATGATATGATATGATATATCAGGTTTAAATTGAATATTTTTTTAAAATTCAAATGCTTATATAATATTAAAACCATTGACCGAATTTATAGAAATATAACTCATTCTTGAAAAAGTTAAGTATCTCCATGTGTTCTCCAAAACAAAAATTAAAAATATAATCATAAAAAATCAAAAATTTTTTAAGAATAACATATATTATTTTCATGTTTTGTATCATTATATTAAAGAATAATATTTTATTGTATTTAAAAATGTTTTAAGTCGCACTAACTCTTTCATGAATGACTTCGTCAAATTTAACTAAATCAAACATATATTATTGTAAATGAAAGAATTTGAATTTAAATAATCTTCTTTGGTACTTTATTCGACAGTTTTTAAAAACAAAAAGACAAAAAGGAAAATACAGAGTACAAGTTTTCGCATATAATGATAATAAATAATTATGTTTTAATAAGAAAACTAGAGCTATTCGGCGAGGAAATAACTTTTCAACGAGACCGGAAAGCACATGAGATATCGATATAGCAGTGTCATTTTGCATATAGGCCTAAACTAGTGTTAGTAAATAGTATATTTACTGGTACACTTGAAACACATTTGTATACAGATTATATATGTTTCAATATGTTTTTAGACTAAAACATTGTGCTAAGATACATGTACTTTACAAAATCGAAATATATTTTCTCAACTATTGCACGAAACTTTTGTTTACTATGATTTGAACATGTAAACATGTGTTAAGTAAATGTTGGCACATAGTGTATTATATTAAAGGGAGGTAATAAAATTAATAAAAATAACTCATACATCCCAGCAAACACATGACGTTAAAAAAACGTCGGATTAATGTTAGATTTTGGTCACGACGTCGGCGACCAAAATACGACGTAAATCTGACGTTAAAATACCGATGTCTAATAGACGTTTCTTTTTGACGTCGTACTAACGTCAGGTTCTGGTCGGTGTCCTGACGGTAGGTAAAAAAATAACAAAAAATAATCCTTATTCGCTGTTGTAATCATTTAAACTTTTTTTCAAATGTTAATTGAATTACAAATGAAGTGTTCTTATATAAATACAGACCAAGATCGCGGCGCTGCAACCTTATAAAACATATAGGTGGCGCTGTATATAGGCAAGTTACATGTGTTATTGTTATGAAATCTATTTATAGCCACAGATCTGTTTACAAGTTCCAATCATTTAACGTTGTAATATTATCATTTGTAGTATTATATGTATCAAAATTAGGAGTTTTTGATAGTGTTTTATCATTTAATCATAGTGACAGAAAAGGGAAAGAAAACATAATTAACCTATAATTCGAAACTAAAGTCACGTGGATGGAAATTCAAATTCGTAGGCGTTACGTTTTGGCTGTCGGTCAGGAATCGGGATGCATTGATAAGTGCATATTATAGATTTTCTTGAACAAAAAGGTCAGTTCAATTTATTTAGATTTATTTCTACTTTGTATTTGATAAATAATTGCATGATTGCAAGCAATCTTAAATTTAATTATCATCATTTGAACAGCTGAAGTAAAATGTCACACAAATTCGCGATAATGTCTAATAATAAATCTTTTTAAAATTGACATGTTTTAACTCTATTTGTGAAGGGTTTATAATACGCCTTTCAGTACTACCAAAGAGTAGTTTTCATATTTTTCTTAAACTGTGATGTTTTTGTCAGTTAAAATCTGAGAATTGAGAATGAATTTGTACGATTTCGAGCATTTCGGACTAAGACGTTTCGGTCTCAAATAACCCAAAACGTTCCGGTCCCAAATAACCAAAGACGTTTTGGTTCCTGACATTTCGGCATTAAATCTTTAATTTAAAACTATGAAATATTTAAGACTTGTGTAACTGTTCTATTTCAAACGTAGAATATATACATAAGTTAGAATATAATTTTCTTTTCAGGTAGTTAAAGTGTTGGACATGCTCTCAAAGATCGGAGGGACGGAAACACGTGAATATGTAAAAAGAAACATAATTATGAAAGTAAGATTTTTGTAAATTCTATTACATACTTTAATCCATACTAAACTGGAGTTTAAAGGCGGCTTTTTAAATGTTCAGTATTTATGTTTACTTTTAATTTTTGTTAAAGCTCTCTTATAAAAAGTTGGCAAAATTGTTCATTAAGTTAAGATAACCATGAAAACATTTTTGCTTGTTATTTTTACATGTTTCATAAATTTCTTTTTTTTCAGTGAAAATGATGTCACACACGCTATTGGGCGCTACAAACGCTACATATCCTCCGAACAGACGAGGGGTGCTGAAAGAAGGTCATATCTTAAAGCATCACACCTCAAAAGTCGTGCTAATTCTCATGGATATCTAAAAGTATAACTTTGTGAAGTAACTAAAAGGCAGTAATTTATACATTACTGACAATAATCAAAGGAGGTCAAAATATGCAAAATGGCACTAAATGTTTTAGAAATGCTGTAGAAATATAGTTAAAGTACTGAAAATCTGTCATAAATTGCTTGAAACATTAATTATTATCAGAATCTTTTAACTTTTCTTAAAATTATAATATTTTCATTATATTATTTGATAAGGCAAAATTTAATAGAAATGTGCATACATTGTTTTGTTCTTTAATATTTGTACATGTTTTCTTAGTTTCATTTATGTCATTGTTTTTGTTATACTTTTTGCTTTGTAATTAACTTATTTTATGTTTTATTTTGTTTAATTTATGAAAATTATTTAACCTTGCAGAATTTACTAAAATTGTATGTATCAGCTTAAAATTGCAACTTTTATTTTAAATTAAAAGAGCATGAAACATATTTTTGCTTTTAGTTTTCTGTTATACATTTCATTTAAGGGAAAGTTACTTAATACAAATGAGTTACATTAAATTCGATCAAATCAGGATTAGCCAGAAAATATTTATGACGTGGTGAAACAAAAAAGATTAGGGGAATGATAAGATGAAGGTCAGAAAATGATCAGATTTAGGGCAGAAAAGGGTTAATATTTAGGTCGGAAAATGGTCAGATTGAGGTCGGAAAATGGTTAGAAACTGGTTAGATTTAGGTCGGAAAATGGTCAGATTGAGGTCGGAAAATGGTCAGATTGAGGTCGGAAAATGGTGAGATAATGGTCAGATTTTGGTCAGAAAAAGGTTAAATAATGGTTAGATTCTGACGTCTACCTGACGTCAGATTATTACGTCAAAAAAACTTTCAAATCCAACCGTTTTTCCGACCGTCATCCGACGTCAGAACCTGACTTAAATCTGACGTCAGTATGACGTCTTGTGTTTGCTGGGATGTTTTGATAATGCCTTAAATATTTTTTTAATTTGAACTAAATGGATAAACTATGATGTAATAACGTTTGAAATATGTTTTTGTAAATTGTATATCATTTATAAACTTATATTATAATCATTAAAGTTTCTTTATATAAACTACTAATATGCATATAAAATTTATCCTATAAAGTTTCATTATACTCTCTGTAGACGTGTAACTTGTTTCTACAGAATACTTTTTCTTGGCCCATTGAATTCGTGGGTTAACTATACTAATTACTAATAATATACTATTAAAGCAAGGCGTGTGTAAACAGTGTTTTTCATAACCAGCCATATCAGTTTATTGGTTAAAAATTATGCTCCAAATTACCGTTTAAATCTTATCTTTCATTACAAAGCTTAATATTTCATGGTTAACATTTATTTGCTTCATTTTGACTGAAAACGAGTATATCAAAGAACATACATTCTCTGTATATCACAGAACTTGGAAAACTCATGATAACATACGCATGCACATTTTGATGTAGTTTATAAGGGGAGGTAATGATAAGACGAAAAATAGATCATTTGTGTTTTTAAGAATGAATTGTATATTTATATAGATTGCATTTTAATGTATTAATAATGATACGAGAATGTGTAAATGAGTATTTCTGAATTATGTATCATTTTATAACATTTAGTACAATTATTTAAGTATTTTAATATAAATTACACATTTGATGACTGACGAAAAACCATTAAAGCCAATATGAACGTAGAACGTTGGACGGTGAAACGGGCGACCCGGCTTCGATTTCTGGACGGCGCAGGGTACTTTTGTTCAGATTGATCATGACATTTATCATGAATTTCTTTGTACGGTCATTCGTTTCTTTGCTCTGGCATATTGAGAATTTATCAGTTTCTTGCGAAATTAAAGGCAACTAGTACTGGTAAACTGCTTGACAGCCTGTCAGGAACTATGCTCTTGTAAATTCAAAGTGGCTTACTGCCTTGACCCGCGTTGTAATACTTCATATTCAGATCGGCCACAGTTTTACTAGACTGGGTAGTAACGCAGTAGATTATGAAAAAAAAATGACAGTTTTAAGAAATCATAAATTTAGGGGAAAATAACATAATATTTATTTTCACATCCAACCAAAAAGACGGGAATTAACTGTTCATTAGAATTAATTTCATGCTTTTATTTTCTATTAATAGCATATTTTATCTGGACGCATGCTGCTTTAAATGATCATATCTTTAGTATCGTAACAGTATTATTTCACAATTACTTTTATTTCCTTAAAGCAGTGTAGACTGTATTAACTGTTATGATAGTCAGTCTGATAACATTATTTTTAATTTGACAAACTAACATTACATACATGTATTGTTTGATTTTATTAACCTGACAATTGCATACTGATTATTAATATACGGGTAATACACGCAATAAATTAATCTTCGATATATTTTCGGTAATATATTCTGAGCTCTACGCAGTTACAATGATAACATTAAAGTTGTGTCTATAAAATCGTTAAACTGAGCGTTTAAGTGATGATCCTGTCCTTGCGCCCTGTACTATTTTTGTTTGGGGTCATCCTAGGATCCTTGCCGCTTGTTCTTGTTGCTGGGTCGTGTGGGGTTGCGTTCATTGAACCCTGCTTTTCCTTGTTGATCTTGTCAATCATATTTTTTAAATGGCTAACGTGCTGTAAGATCGAGACCGCGTAGGTCCATGTTTTTTCTTATAAATATTTTAAACATAACTGTTGCTATAATGGTGTTTTTATGATTCATGTTGATTTTGAATATAGTGTGCACTTAATATATAAATAATTTTAAATAACACGAATTTATATTTAAAATTCATTATAATTTAAATCAAAACATGCATTTTCCATGGTGTAAAATGCAGTGAAAACGAGACACAGCGTTTCTAAGTTGCAAAATCCGTTTCGACAATTTTGCAAGCATTTTGTCATTTCCATTCAGATATACTGCACAAATAAGGAAAGAGAAGGTCAAAAAGAATGCCGACAATAGGAATCGAATCACAAACATCTCATATATATCTTAGGCATTCATTTAACAGATTGCGCTGTTGATAACGACCACCTAGTGCTAGTGCGACTTTTCAAAACTCCACATTTATTCATTCTCGTAAATACCACGGACAGAACCGACGTGGACTCGATTAGTGCCATAATATATTCATAACTGACAGGTCAATAAAATCAAATTATACTGTGGTGTTAACAGATAGTCAGCCCATCTGTACTTCTGATATTTGATTCAGATAAAATGCTAGACGTCCTTCAGAAATATTTTATTGTTAAACAACTTCTATTTAATACATTAATTTTAAAAGACATTTTCACAGTGTTAAACCTTTAGCATCTAGCGCTGTGATAATTTAATACAACACAATCTTTATATACAGAATCTTTTACTTCGAGGTGCATCACTTTGAATATCAAGGACTGAAAACTCACTACCTGTAAGCTTATTCCAAATGTAAAGTAGACTTAGAATTACAAATATCTTGACTGAAATGTACATTTTACTTTATAATTATATTGCATTGTTGAATAGAGGACAAACGTCATACTTGACATGAACCGGATTAAAATATATACCGCTAAACGTCATGTTATATTTCCGCATAATTCCTAATGGCAGCTACCGTTACCTCGTGTATTTCTTTCTTTTGATATTGCAAAACATATATACTCAACATCACTGATTCCGCGTCATCATTTATTTCACGGTAATGGCATAATTTTCATGTGACCAGTGTTAAAATTCGTCAGAATTGACATATTTTATTCAAGCACCTAAACAAAGTTTTCGTGCACATATTTTAAATCTATAGATTTTTACGTGAAACAGAACAACATTTTACAAACTTCTGCAAAAAGCAACAATAGTTCGTTAAATTTGTACATACGTCTGTAATGTAACACCATTACCGCGATTTAAATGATGACATACTGTATTCAAAATGGCCGACATATGGTCTACGTTTGGTCCATTATAATTGACTTTGACTGATATATTGTTGTTTCCTTGTGCCATACAGCAAAAATACCTATATGTTACAGCTTATGACAATTTTTGTACCATAAGATTCATTTGTTGTTTCCTTTCTAGTTTCAAAGCATTAAGTACCGTGAACTAAGAGGAGCACAGTATACAGACTCTATTAAATGTTTATAAATAAGACGAGCACTCTTAAAAGATTTAAAGAAAGAGACTGTCATACGAGTGTTGATTTATTTCTGTATGAGGTCATCTATTACAGTAGACATATCTATCAATCATGTCCTTATTGTTACGCGTCTTTCTTCATCTTAAGACAAAAATTTACATTATTGACATTATACAAGATCTCTTGCACATATTAGAATTCATAATACCAACGAACCAATAATATATAACCCTTTAATAGTCATAAAATATATGATAAATAATTGGAAATTGAACCCTCATCATATGCATTCTTATACCACACGATAGTCACAGTTTACTTGATTACAGTGGATATAGATCTCATGTCCACGTGTGTTTAGTGACTGACACAATCCATTAGACAATCCGTTAGACAGCTTTTTTCCAAACAAAGGGAAATGAAATATTTTTCAATACCTTTTATAAAGAACATTTTTTCAATCTATTGTGACATGAATCCAATTAGGGCGATGCAGCTTATGTCTGACTTTCTTCAAAACTTTATTTAATTTTCTTCACACATTATGTTTTAAAGTTTAAATGCCTTTAAATGCTTTCATTGTATCAATAAGATGTCGTTTGTTTAGGATAAGGTGTAATAATATATTGTGATTAGGTTGAACTGCCTCTGATTACAAACTGCTTTGACAACATAAAATTTAGTAATATTTTATTTTAAGGAATTGGTATATATCTTACTCAAGTCTTTTGTTTCGCATTTGACCTTTTTGTGTTGGTAAAACTTAATTTTAATGTAATGCATCAACTTACATATGCGCGTGTACATGATAAAATGTACAGTTTTTGCATAATTATATCACAAACTATTTCCAAATATTGCCCTCGATTTTTTGTTGATTAAATGAGACACTTAAATGCTTCATTTGATTAACTAGTATCTGTTGCAAATAACATGTGTGATTTAACTGTGCAAAAAGATGCAGAAATTCGTCATAACATATGATACTTTATTAATAGAATACATCTTGATAGATAAACAGATAACCGTAGACTATACCCACCATTTCTGTCTATGAATCGTCTAAATAAAATCTTGAAGAACAGTAACAAGGACATATCAAAGGTCGCCATACCTGGCAATATTTCAAAATTCTGTAGGGTAAGTTAAACAGAATATCACCAAATAATAAGACCGAACAGGAATTTCTTCAAAGTAATTCAATTGTTTTTGCATTTATTGTAACAGATATCAGGTTTTGAGAGCATTTCAAGAATTTCAAAGGACATCATTGCACTGTGTGGCTGAATATCCTTAGCCCCCTCCATCCATACACTTTACTA